TCTCTCGTAGCTTTTAATATTCTCTCCTTGTTCTGTATGTTAGCTATCTTCATAATTATATGTCTTGGAGTTGTTCTATTACGGTTTTGGATGTTTGGGGTCCTGTAGGCTTCCAGGATTTGGCAATCCATTCCATCTTTCATCTCTGGGAAGTTTTCTAGGATTATTTCATTTAAGAAGTTGTCCATTCCTTTGGTTTGAACCTCTGTGCCTTCTTCTATCCCAATGACTCTCAAATTTGTTTTTTTCATGAGATCCCATATCTCTTGGATAGATTGCTCATGAGAGTTAAGCATCTTTTCTATGTTGACTATATTCTTTTCAAGTTGATAAACTTTGTCTTCATTATCTGATGTTCTGACTTCTACTTGATCTAGTCTATTTGTAATATTCTCATTAGATTTTTTAATCTGGTTTATGGTTTCTTGCATTTCTAGGATTACTGTTTTTTTTTTTTTTTTAAATCTCTATCTCCTGGTAAAGCTCGTTCTTTGCAGTTTGAATTTGTTTGTTTAGTTCGTTTTCAAAATATACTTTCATTGCTTGGACTTGCTGTCTCATGTCTTCTCTAATATTCCGTTCCATTTGAGTTAGGTATGCCTTGATTTCTTTCCCTGTCCATGTTTCTGATGCTTCTAGGTCCTCCTGTAGATTTAAGTTGTCCTGCATTGTTTGTAATCCTTTTTTCCCTTGTTTTTTCATGTTTTTCCCTTTATTTTCCAGCTCTGTTTGACTGCTTTGTAACTGCTTTCTCCTATACATTTGTTTTGGCTTTGTATATCTCTGTTGTCTCTCCTTTGTGGTGGGAGATTATGCCTAGAAATGTTGGGCTTTATTGTACTTTAAAGATGATTCATTCAATTCATAAAAGGCTTCCAAGTTCTGTATGCATATAGTGATTTGTTGTTTGTTCTTAGGATTATATGTTTACGTTAGGTGCTATGATGGTATGAGGGTTAGTATGTCTTGGCTACTAGAAGTTTGCTCTACTGAAAGTGGAGACTAACAGGCAATTGGATCAGGGTGTTGGTAGTAGCTAGGTATTTAGGAGCCCTATAGACAGCCTCGAGACATTCACCTATTTGCATTTAGACAATTACACATAATGGAAGACGTAATGCTTGGGATGAAAGTTGGCGGGTAGGGGAATGAAGGTGCTCTTAAAAAGAAAGAAGGAGAGAGAGATAGATGATTAGAGGAGAATGAAAAGAACAATAAAACTTGAAATGGGAAAGAAAGAGAGAAGGAAAAGGGGAGAAAGGAACAGAGAGAGAAGAAGAAAAAAATATTGAAGTCTTAGAGATCCACTTTCTTCTCTTCCAGTAGGTGGAGCTGTGCCCTCCGAGCGGAGCTTCTGCCCTCTACCTGCCGATAGCAATCCCTGTAAGGCATCTCCTGGGAGTATCTCAGACTTGTCAGTCCAGAGCCGTTTCACTTCTCCAGCCCTTCCCCCCCTTCCTCCTGTCAGCCAGCCAGCCAGGTCCTGTTCACCAGAAGCAGTTCCCCAGAGATCTAGTTAAACTTGCAGCCCCACCACGTGTCCCATTTAAGCCCCAGTGCTGTGGTAAACTGGCAGCTAAGACCTTGGGAGTCACCGCTGGTGATATGGGGGGTTGGGGGTCGGGGATCCCTTCTGCTTCCCACCAGACATGACCCCTGAGAGGTCCCTGAAGTTTCCTGGCTGCTTGTATCTGGATGGGGAGGGAGTCACACACCTGCTAAAGTGGATTCTGCTGGGAAGGAATTCGATTGGCCGAACTCTGATGACGTCACCTCTCTGCTATGGCGGGCCCCAGGATCCTTGCCGGAGTGTCCGAAGGGAGGGGTGGGACTGGTCCGTCCCCGGTTGGCCTCAGCTCCCGGCTCGCTATTTCATGAAGGCTTGGCTAAAGACTTCTTCCTGCCAAGCTGTGTCTCGGAGGCTAGCGGGACCCAGTCATGTTGGCTGCGGGCGGACAAGCCGGCAGCCGCGCTGCGGCGCGTGGACTGTGGCTAGCGGATCTGGACCTCTGCGTCTCGTTGCAGGGATTCGCTCCTCTGGGGCATACTGTCGCTTTAAAAAATCCTAGTAGCTCCCAGCTGGTCTCTCTTCAGTGGAATTTTGCTAGGAGATTCTCCGTTGGTAGAATCTAAGAGTTATCTATGCGTCTTTATGACCCCATCACTGGGGAGTATTGAAAGCGCTGCCTCTCCGCCCGCCGCCATGTTGGATCTCCCAGATATGGTTTCTTTAATTCTCTTACGTAGAATTTGAGTTTTGAGTTGTGAATAAGGGAAATGGAGTTTTACATTTTTATAAAAAAGTTATATTTTATGGTTGAGATTGCATGGAAATTAATCCTAAAAGTGCGATTTCCATCTCTTAAAAATATCTTAACAGATACATACTATTTACTATAAAATTAGGGTTAAATTCTAAGTGTTTGGTACAGTCTGGCCTTAAAGGACCTACAAAACAAAGAAAAAGAGGATGGGGTAAATAGATAATCACAATACTTGACAAATAGCAAGTATCCTAACCACTGAAGGGAAGATAGCTTTTTAGACTGGATCTTTGGAAGAGGGACTTTAAGTGAGCTTCCAAGTTTCCAGCACAGAAGTCTTAAGATTAGGTAACATCATGCTAGCAAAATTTGCAAGGGCAAAGCCAATGCAATAAGAAATCGCAGACCTAAGTTTGGAAAGCAGTTAAATTACAGCCAATATGGAAAGCAGTATGGAGATTTCTTGGAAAATTGGGAATGAAACCACAATTTGACCCAGTTAAATTTCCTTGGTTTCTACCCAAAGGATTTAAAAACAGCATACTACAGGGACACAGCCACATAAATGTTTATAGTAGCACAATTCACAATAGCTAATCTGTGGAACCAACATAGAAGCCCTTCAATAGATGAATGGATAAAAAAATGTGGCATATATACACAATGGAATATTATTCAGCAATAATAAAATCATGGCATTTGTAGGTAAATGGATGGCATTGGAGAAGATAATGCTAAGTGAAATTAGCCAATCCCCAAAAAAACAAATGCCAAATGTTTTCTTTGATATAAGGATAGCGAGAGGGAGCATGGGAGGAATAGACAAACTCTAGATAGGGCAGAGCTGTTGGAGGGAAAGGGAGGGGGCATGGGGTTATGAATGATGGTGGAATGTGATGATCATTATTATCCAAAGTACAAGTATGAAGACATGAATTGGTGTGAATATACTATGTATACAACCAGAGATATGAAAAAAATGTGCTCTATATGTTTAATAACAATTATAATGCTTTCCGCTGTCATATATAAATAAAAATAAATAAAATAAAATCACGGAATATAATTTGCTCTTAAAAACAACAACAACAAAGGATAAGTTACTGGGTACTCCACAGCAAGAACCAAGGCCATGGTATGTCTTACCCTACCAAGGGAGCAAATGGGCTGTTGTTGGAGACTAAAGGAGCCAGAGAGGCCAGGCAGATACACAGAATTAAGACTTGTTACATGAAGTCCTAATAGTTTACAGTTCCAAGCGCTTTTTATGGCATGCCAGACTACACTAGTTTCATCTACATACCATTTATACTAGTACATGACCTGAAAGGATGTGGAGATAAAGATAAGAGTTGGACCTATAACACGTGTCACTTTTTGATTAAACAAGAGGGGGCTCAATTAAGGAGCTATGCTAAGTTAAGATTATTGCTTTTCAAACTGGGAATATGTAGGAAGAGCAGTGAAACACACAGAAATGCCACTTTCCATCCACACGGGGCTGAGTCATTTCAACAGTGTATGCACGTGTGAAAGGGACACTTTTAAGGACATTTGGGGAAAAGTGCGCTTCATATTTAGGTGGCAGATAAGTAACAAGGAAACAGGAGTGACAAAAATTGCCTTGGTATTCTCCCAAAGGGATTGCGGGGATCTGGGATGTGTGGGGACAAGCTGTGGACAAGAGGCCTGGCGGAGAACCCTGGCGCTCGCCAATCTTCTGCCAGTGCTTGCAGAGTGGACACCCAAAGGCGCACGAAGGAGTGGCCGGGGACTCAATGGCCAGTCAAGGGGCCTGCACCTGACCTAGGAGGTTACTGTGCCAGATGGCCAGAGGCGTTCATGGCTAGAGAGGATGGAAGGGCCCCGAGTGAGAGGAAAGGGGAGGTCACGCATTACACTGGCTGCTGGCCAAGGGGCCGGTGCTGCAGGACGCCCATGCAGTGAGAGCACTGCCACCACGCGCACCTCAGGCAGGCCGCTGCCGCCGTCGCCAGCGGCCCCAAGGAGTCTCAGTGGAACTAGCGCGCAGAGAGTGCTGGAGGGGGAGGGACGCAGTCGACACGACTCGTGGGAGTCCGGTAGACGTTACTGTGGGGGACCCTGGGCCGCCATGCTTAGGTCCCCTGCTCCTTCCAGGCCGGCAAGGGCACTTGGCATTGGCTCTGGACCCTGCAAGTCCGGAGCAGTTGGCCAGGCTTGGGCATGGTGGTCTGGGGCAACGTGGAAGGTGAGCGACTCCCTAGCTGGCGGTTGGGTGGGGAGGGGTGCAATGGACACGAGACTCCTTGGGGCCGCTGGCGGTGGCGGTAGCGGCCTGCCTGAGGTGCGCGTGGTGGCAGTGCTCTCGCTGTATGGGCATCCTGCTGTGCCAGCCCCTTGGCCAGCAGCCAGCTAGTTCCACCCCCACTGCCTGGCTCTGTGTGAGAATATTCGAATTTTCAGGAAACATTGCTAATCAAAATAGAAATAGGAAACTCAGGTAAAATGGAAAAGGTAATGCATTGGAAATTCAAAATAAAAGGGAAATTTCAAGTAACAAGCAAAAAAAAAAAAAAAAAAAAAAAGTGAAAAAAAGAAAAGTATAGGATCCAGCACTAGTAATTGATTTGCAGTGACATCTAGTGGAAAAAGGGCCATATATGAACAGACACTTGCCCATATTAGTGAGCTTGGAGAATCCTTGGCCACATGGGTTAGAGGGAATGCACAAGGCACTACTAGGGTTGAGGGATCATGCCAGTACCAGGAGGGCCCACTGACCATTTCCAGTTTTTTGAGTGCAGTTCCGCATTGCACCTGTATGTGTGTAAACCTCCAACAGCTATTTCTTCTCACATGCAGCACCTGGGTTACACAGGAAGCAAGTTTCCATTAAATAGTTTTAAAAAAATAATATCCTAGTCATGTATGCTTAAATACAATTCTAATGAGGACCTTCCAGCAAAAATCAAGCATACCACAAGGACCACCTCCCATCCCCGCCATCCCTCAGTCACCATTCAATGCAGTGGTTTTTCAATGGGAGGCCCTACATTGTTAACAATAATCTTTACTGTCTTAATGCCCCCAAATAAAGCCAACATTCCTTCCAAAGGCTTAATATTTTTTTTCCTCATTTATTTACCTAAAATATTTCAAAAGAGTTTTTGAGTACTTCAGAAACAATGGATTTCTTTCTTTTTTTTTTTTTTTTTTGTGAAAACTGATTTGCAAGCCTGGGACTTAATTACTGGTGAGAGAGAGAATATTCAAATATGGTTTGTTACTTTTCCCCTTTTTTCCTTGCCATGCTATAAACCTTCAACTTCAGTATTCTTTTTCTAACCTAGCAAATTCAGATTGCATGCTTTTTTGAGATGCCACAATTTAAAACAAATGGTGTAATTTCAGTAGGCTCACAACTGCTTGCCAACTGCAACACCAGGGGGTCATGTGCTGAGATGCCACAGAAAACCAGTACAACACATTCTTCATTATGAGGCTTAAAAATTTCTATCTCTAAATGGAATTATTTCCATCAATTAAGAAATGGCAAGAGCAAGACTTGGGCTGGGGTTGTGGCTCAGTGGTAGAGCACTTGTCTCCAGTGTGTGTGAGGCACTAGGTTTGATCCTCAGCACCACATAAATAAATAAAAGTATTGTGTCCATCTACAATTTTAAAAAAATCTAAAAAAAGAAATGGCAAAATTTGATTCTGAAATTGAAAAATAACCTGTGAACTCTACAGAAACTGCATCATTGTTACTTCAGTTTCAATTTTGTTTACTATTATTTGTGTTAAAGATTTTTTTCTCTGTATTTTCTCAAGCAAGAAATAAATGTTGAACTAACTGACCCTGGTAGTACCCTTGTAAAACACAGAAGGGTATAATCTGCACTTCTGGGAAAATTAGTAAGAAGATTCTACTAGTAAGGAGGGAAGACACCACCTTGCTCTCCAGATCAAAAAACTGAATATGAAAAGTACAGAATTAAGTTATGTTTAGATGTATACAAACACTAGAGCCCTTGGTATGAACAATTTTCCTGAGGTTTTATTTTTTGTCTGCTCCAAAATATTCTGTCTTTTGCCATCTCATAATATAACACATACAACACATAATAGTAAAGGCCTTACAACTTTTTACAGGTGAAATCTACATTGCAATGTTTAAAAACTCTATAGTCAAAAAATATAACTGATCAGTAAAACATTAACCTAGGTCTGTATGAACTCAAAAAACAAAATAGAACTTCATGATGTTGGAAAGGGTAATAATAAAATAGATATTGAAAAAAAGCATCCTGGTTCTGTTGCAGATGTAAGAATAGCCAAACTGGAGTTTTGGATATCAGTTGTTATGGATTTGAGCCAAATCATCTTCTTTTTGGTCTGTAGAAATCACTTTAGTTAATCTTTCTGGAATCCAAATCAGCTGCTGTTCTCCCTGTGGAAACACACAAACAGACCCCCGACTCCAGACAATCACTGGGTCAGGACCTTTCCATTGTCCTGTTAGAATATCCTTCCAACGTACCTTGGGCTTATGCACATTTTTTGGACACATATGCCTTTCCGCAGCACTAAGTCCTGATGAATCCAAATTTAAAAAGTTTAGAGTAAAAAGTGTTATTTTAAGTTTATCTTTGGGGAATATATACCCATTCCCAATTCCTTCTTTTTGTTTAATAAGTACATTTTAATAGTTTGTTGAGCTCTTTCAACTATGCCTTGTCCCTGTGGATTGTATGGAATTCCTGTTATATGAGTAATGCCAAATGATGAGCAAAATTGTTTAAAAGAGGTAGAAGTATAACCAGGGGCATTATCTGTTTTTAACTGTTTTGGAACGCCCACAGTGGCAAAATTTTGTAAGCAATGAGCTATAACATCTTTAGTTTTTTCTCCGGGATGAAAGGAGCCCATCAAAAATCCTGAAGAAGTATCAACTGTAACATGCAAATATTTTAATTTTCCAAATTCTGGCAAGTGTGTGACGTCCATCTGCCAAATATAGTTAGGTATCAGTCCTCTAGGATTGATTCCAAGATTAACTTGTGATAAAAAGGTCACAAAATTTGGCATTGTTTTATTATTTGTCTAGCTTGTTCTTTAGTTATTTTAAAATGCTTTTGTAAAGTATTAGCATTGACATGGAAATTTTTATGAAAATTTGTAGCTTCTTCTAGTGTAGAGAACATATGTATGTCATGTGTAGTTTTATCTGCTAAATCATTGCCCAAACTAAGGGCTCCAGGCAATCCTGTATGTGCCCTGATATGTCCTATAAAGAACGGATCTTTTCTGTCCCAGATTAGACTTTGTATAGTGGAAAGCAAAGAAAAAACAGTAGAGGAAGGGGAAATCCTACCAGCATCTTCAAGGGATACTATAGCATTAACTATATACTGAGTATCAGAAAATAAATTAAATACAGAATCTTTAACATCACAAAAGCTTGTAATACTGCATTAAGCTCTACCTTTTGAGCTGATTGTTTGGGTACTAAAAATGTAAAAGTTTGATCAGTTGTAACTATTGCTGCTGTACCATTATTTGACCCATCAGTGAATATATTTGGAGCATTCATGATAGGTGTTTTTCTTGTCAATTTTGGAAAAATTACAGGATGCAATGACCAAAAAGACAATAAAGGATTAGATGGTAAGTGGTTATCAAATGAAACATTAGATTTGCACATGATTATTGCCCAAGTATTTAACTCATTAGCTAACTCATCTATTTGATTCATAGTATATGGAGTAATAATTTTATTGGGAGGAATTCCAAACACTCCCTTTGCTGCTTTTATTCCTTTGAGTTTTAATTGTCCTACAGCCTCAGGATACCTAGTAAGAAAAGTGTTAGGAGAATAAGATAAATGTATCCATAATAATGGACCTTCTTGCCAAAACACTCCTGTAGGAATATTTTTTGTTGGTAGTACAATAAATAATAAAGGCAAACTTATATCAATTCTATCCAAATACATATTTTCCATATATGTTTCAATGATTTTTAATGCTTTTCTTGTTTCAGGCATTAACATGCGGGGTGAATTTGGATCTGATGGACCTTTTAGGATATCAAATAAATGTCCCAACTCTCCTGTTGGTATACCTAGATAAGGCCTTATCCAATTTATGTCTCCTAATAACTTTTGAAAGTCGTTAAGTGATTTGAGTTGATCTACTCATATTTGAATTTTTGGTGGACGGACCATGGTTGAGGATAATAGAACTCCTAAATAATTAATTGGAAAATTTAATTGTACTTTATCTATTGCTATCTCTAGATTGTAATTTTTTAATAAGTTTGTAAGTGTGGCATAACATTCTAGCAATTTGTTTTTATCTTTGTGTGCTAATAATACATCATTCATATAGTGAAATATTTGTAGTTCAGGATTTTGATTTCTAAGTGGCTGGATTACTTTGTTAACATAAATTTGACACATAGTTGGGCTGTTAGCCATCCCTTGTGGGAGTACTTTCCACTCATATCTCTGATCAGGACCTTCATGATTCAGTGCAGGGATAGTAAATGCAAAACGTGGACTATCCTCAGGATGAATTGGAATTGAAACAAACAAACAAACAAAAAAAAAAACAAACAAAAAACAATCTTTAATATCTATAACTAAAACATACCAAGTTTTTGGCAAAGCAGACAGTTGAGGAATCCCCGATTGAGCAGGTCCCATAATAACCATGTCATTATTAATGGCTCTTAAATCTTGCAATAATCTCCATTTACCAGATTTCTTTTTGATGACAAAAATGGGAGTATTATGGGGAGATACAGAAGGTTGTATTTGTCCTTCCACTCATTGTTGTTTGACCAGGTCATGGGCTGCTTGTATCTTTTCTTTAGTCAGGGGCCACTGAGGAACCCATACTGGTCTTTCTGATTTCCAAGTAATTTTTATTGTCTCAGTGGCCCTTTCTGAAAATCCAACCCATGTCTGTCTGTTCCTTGATCTATTTGTATTGGTGCTGCTATACCTTGTTCTTGTTTTTCTAATCTTTTTCCTTTCCTAAAACCTTGTCTAGTCATAATAGTGGGGGAATTTTGGTTGATGTTATTTATTAATGTCAAACCCAATTGATCTAGGACATCTCGTCCCCATAAGTTTACGGGAAGATGATGCAATACATATGGCTGTATAGTTCCTTCACATCCTTCAGGATCCTTCCAGTCTAATACCATTGCACTTCTATGGGGATTAGTCGCCACTCCTAGGCCTCGAAGCGTTTGAGTGGCTTGTTGTAATGGCCAATGTTTTGGCCATTCTTGATGAGAGATGATGCTAAGGTCTGCACCTGTATCCAGTAGCCCATTAAATTCATGTCCTTGAATATTTAGTTTTAGCATGGGGCGAGAATCTAAATTTAAAGAAAGCATAGCCCAATCTACACCTGTGGAGCCTAATCCCTTGGAACCTCTTTCTACAGTATGACTGGAAAATTTATCATGTAGGCTGGGTATTATTAATAACTGTGCTATTCTATCTCCTGGTGAAATTACTGATATACCCTTTGGAGAACTGGCTATAATTTTTATTTCACCTTCATAATTGGGATCAATTACCCCAAGACTTATCATAAGTCCTTTTAGAGTAGAAGAGCTGTGTCCCAATAATAAGCCTACTGTTCCTTTGGGAAGAGGTCCTTTTACCCCTGTGGGAATTATTTGAACTCCCATCTCTGGAGTTAGTACTGATCTGGCAGAGGCGCAGATGTCCAACCCTGTGCTCCCTCTGGTTTGTCTGATGAAGGATCTAATGGACAATGTGTCCTGGGCACTACCCTGATGG